GGAAGCGGGCGGGGTCGTCGATGATGAAAACGTCGGACTCGGCGCGGAGGCCGAGGTGTTTGGCGCTCTGTTGGAGCTCCTTTTTGCGGATGTGGCCGAGGCCGTCGGCGTCTCCTGAGGGATCTGGGTTAGGGGGTTTGATGGGGGAGAGGGCGCGGGGGAAGCGTACCGCTGCTCAGACAGAGGATCTTCACATGGTTACCCAGCTCCGGTTTGGTCAATGCCAGCACCGTGGGGGAGAAGAACATGGCCTCATCGTCCGGGTGGGCGATCAGCAGGCATATCCGTTTGTTGAAGAGGCGGGGGAAGTTGCGCGCAAAGGGAGACGAGCTGGTTGAGGAGAGGGTCCAGAAGAGGAAGATGGCGGAGAGGGTCAGGCCCCATGTCACCAGGGACGCGGTGAGCATGGTAGGGAGGATTGAAGAGAATAAATCTCTGCAGCTATTCAAGTATGCGCAAGACCAATTGACTTGCCCCGCAACCTGAGGTTCAATTGATGTAATGCAAAGCTGTCAGTGTCAGCTTAGGCGGATGCGGATTGCAGGTGGGGATTCCGCATCATCAACTCCACCGGTCAGTCTCAGCTTCTCATTCTCTGTCCGCTTTCATCAGCAATGATTGTAAACCACCATGAATCCGAAGACTGAGCTGATATTCCACAGGGGCGAGAGTCGATCGCCCAATGGCAAATAGACACGGTGGCACAAATGAAAAGGGGAAGCGATCTGGCTCTTGGTGCAACTCCAGATACGTTCCCCTGACGATCTGCGGATAAGGCCACGTGACCAAAACATTGGACTCTGGACTGCTTCAGCCCTTCGACTTTGCTTGATGCAAGGTGAGTGCGTCTGTGCAGTGTATACTAGCTTTACTTTTTATGTGCGATATACCTGCCAGTATTAGCTGCGCATTGAGAGCTTCATTCCGTTCTTGGTAGCGCAAACTGATCAGGGAGCAGTGGGTTTTAAAGATTTAGATGCAGCTTGCATGACCGTTATGATATATAAAGTAAGCAGACCTACAATCGCCGTCATTTTCGAGACTGAAAGAGACATAATATCGAGTTCGCTGGAGACCTCATCTCTAACGTAATGACATAAATATCAGAATTAATGAGGAAGGCAATGGCAGAAATGACACAATATTAGACAATTTTCTGATCGACGTTGGCCATAACTCCAGATAATGGCATGATCTTACGCGTAATATGCTGAGACCATTCATCAGGTAATCGATATCGCTCTGTCATCACGGCGTACCAACATGAGTGGTTCGAGAGGCCATCGGCGTCCTCCGCCAATTGGCCCGAAGAAGGAAAAGTCGATGGTTCCAAGTCAGGGTCAGCAAGACGGTCCCGTCCGCGTCTAACCACGGTCCAGATTCATCTGATGATTGATGAATTGAGTGATTTACGATGCACGGGGCAGGTTTGAAAAAGAATTAGTCTACGGTATGGTGAGAAAAATCAGTTGAAAATAAACTAAACTGAGGCAATTGTGGGAGAGGACCAATAAGAAGGCCCGGTTCGACCTAGTGATGCGCGATTGAAAATTTCCGAGGAACCAGGTGAGAAACGGAATCCACTCGGTTAGTCTAAGGCGTGTAAATGGAATCCACCGGCAAGCGAAATCCGGGCAGTATCCGATTAAACAGTCGGAGGTTCCCGCGGAGAGTGCAAAGTGCGAAGAGGTTGTCCAATGTGCGCATACAGAGTAGGGTAGATGCGCTAAGATCAGCAGCCCACCGGTATGAGAAGGTGGACTTGGGCTGAACTTGTTTCGAATGCGATTATAAATGATATAGAAGACACCGAAGACGTGTCTCCTATAGTGGTTATGATTTGATGGCATCGGTATCTAAATAATAAGTAACTAATTGTATGGTATCACTTGAAGTCTCAGACCCATAATGGCAATATGGCTCAGTCTTAGCTGTCACTCCCAACTTCCGGAAAGGGCAACTTCTGCGCCGGACGGGACTCCATATAAAATCTCCATCGGACTTCCACTATATCAGTTAGTAAACGCACCAGGATGACTAGAATTAGCATCGGTATCAATAATGGTAGTGTATATCAGCTCCGATGTCATGAACCACATTGCCGTGAGCAATCCGACTTCATGGCATGATCGAGTCGGGTATGATGGTATCACTCGGAATGAAGATCCTGAGCCGACTTCAAAGTTTTGGCGACTCGGAACGACAGTCATCAGTCCGCCTTCAGCAAGTGTTTAGCCGGAATGGCAGACGGATCTAAGCAGATCTTTTTTCATATTGAGTCATAAACCCTGATTATATTGACAGTAAATTCGAGCGCAAAAGGAGGATGACTTCCAATGGGGATGGCGAAGAGGAATCTGTTAGGTAATTGGTATGGCGGCGATGCACGGTCATTCGTCAGGGGAGAGTTTTCCCTGCAGACCGACAGCGCACAGAGCAGGTCTTGACTCTTGACAGCTAGGTTGTCTAGACCCAAGGTTGTGATAAACTTTTGATATCTTTAAAAATTCATCCTCTGATGAACCTGAGAATAGATTTCGATCTCAACTCACAGACAATACGTGGAAAGATGATAACAGAATGATGAGGGAGCGTCTGCCTCCTAGTAAGAAGCGGAGAAAAAGCAAACACAAGCCAGATGATGCGATCCCCCGCAAAATCTTGAATTGCATGCAGTGCGGGGAAATTTGATTTGGACCTCCGCGGACACCTTCAGTAGGCTCAGTTTGGTCTATCGGATGCTTAGCCAAGAATGGATGTTGTAAGGAGAAGTGACAATAGCGGTAGAAACAATACCTTGCCATCCCTGATCTGGAGACTTCTTCCACTCTATTTCTTTGGAATTGGGCCACTCGTTTCTAATTCTCCCTCTGGGCTCTGCTTTCTAGAACTGGAAAGATGTGGAACCTCACCGAGCCGTTCCCAAGCGAAAGGAAAATTCTGTAAAAAATTTTTCATTTTTTCCTGGACGCTAAGCTTAATCCGGTCTAGCTCGGATAGATTCGTCTAGCGACTTCGCTCCGTTCTCTGGATGTTGCCCCTCTTGGGTGCGCAGTCCCAGAGGATCTTCAATTAGCGTTACGCCTTGTCGAGGCGTATTGTATTGTAATCCGGTGTATCGTTGCCGGTCACTCCTGGTAAGAGAAAACCTTACGCTAGACCGCCTCCGGGAACCCAAACTAAGCTGCTTCCTATTTCTCCGTACCTCTTGACTTTTTGGACTTTGGTACCAAGACTCAGCCTCGAGAAGCCGCCAGAGCACTGAATGACGCCACGTGATGGTCCGATGACGGCAGCTGACCTTCACCAGGGCATTTCGGCCGTGCTAAAAATGTGGTCAGGTGCTTGCACTTTTGGCTTGGATTTGGTCCATTCGGCCTGCTGGACGGATAATCGGCCTGCTACAAAGCACGTTGTCAGGTGTCATATGCTTCTCTTCGTGTTGCCGATTTGTGGTTAGTTCCAAGGGATCCAGAGCAGCTGGTCATATTTGCGCATCAACGACTTGCGTGTTTGTTGTCGTGGCAGTCCTAATTCCAGACACATACTGGACCAATTGGGTTGGAAATTGTTGAGCATCGAATGTCTAGACCGTCCTGACTCAGCCATTGCACCCTTGGTTCAACTATGACAATTGCATATTGTTTTGAGGACCTTTATAGTCCGTATGCCTAGAGAAGTATCCTCATACGCGTAGTCTTCCAACAAGGTTATCAAGATCTACCATGGGCTCGACTTAGTCTAGCGGAAATCCTAATCAACTTGACGATATCCCGGGTTTGCTAACCGCTGGTCCATCACTCGCATTGTGACTCATTACGCACGGTGCTTCGAATCTGCTATGCTTGCTCTCGGACATGATCGTAGCGTGTAGATAGACACAGGGGAAGTATCAACCAATTCCCCGATGCATCATAAAATTTGCATTCATGGAGTCGTTGCAGATTGTGGGGTATGTACCTTGGCTAAGGGCAATATATGCCAATGGTTTGAGCCTATGATTGAATGTTGCAGTCACATGGGAGATGCGAAACAATGGATCACCGATCGTGTGTCTACAAGTCGTCCACTATCTAAGAGTCTAGACGGAGTCCGAGAGTTGATGATCAAGGATACTGATGAGTTAGATGTTCTCTGTGGAAATCATCAACCTTGAACATGCTGAAAACGGTGCCGCTATGAGTATGAGTAAGACTATGAGTCAGATAACTATATAGTAGAATAATAAACGTCTAGACAAGTTCGTGATGTAATCATCTGGATCACCAACCACACCACAGTCGCCAAACACACTGAAGTTGAAAGCCTCAGGCCACAAGTCTCACTCATGCCCTGAGACAAGAAACTTTTTTTAGCTCGGCGAATTGGCGGTATTGTAATATTGTCACGTACGGTAATCCGTATGGTAAGTCCCACTATGACGCCTTTTTCTGCCGTGACCCACTAGATTGTGCCTTCCTTGGGCGATGTGACGGAGACATGAGAGGGGCCCGTTCAGAAAAAAAAATAGAAAATTCGGAAAAAAGAGCGAAAAAGGCGTCACAATGCAATGGATGGGACCTGTTGTTACATGCAAAGTGGGAACCTCCTAGAAAAATCTTAATAGAAAGGGTTGTATATCCATTCTCTGAGTCTGAGCTAATAAAAGCAAGGTTGTCTGCTTTCATTCAAAGGGAGCTGCTTGCCCACTATTCTCCTTTTCTATTGTTGCTCTACTACTCTTGCCTCTCGCCTCATACATCCTTCACCCCTCCAAGGCATCTTTCAAGCCATCTTCATACAACCTATAGTTCAATTGCAATAGTGTCATGTTGTGGATTGCCATCCTCGCCTCTCCACTCCCTCAAACTGAATCCTGAGTTGATATCACATACGAGTAGCAACAGCACCGCACCAGCGCGAGCTTCCAAGGTCCGAGCTTGATCTCCAGTATAGGCGCATCTGCCTGCCTATTGACACTACCTCTTCAGCTGGTCTAAATCGGCAGAGAACGAGTCACCATGCCTGGCCGTCTCCTTTCCAGTTTTGTTCGGCCCGCTGCTCTCCATTCTCTATCCTCACACTCGAATTCCTCCTCAACCTCATCCGTCAACGAGATTCCTACCACTACTGTGGCTCCCAAGAAGCCCCACGCGCACACTGATCGAGCGAGGTCTCCAGAGCGTCGCCTGTCCTTTAGCATGGACCACCTGATTCACCCTCACAGAGACCACAGCAAAGAGAAGAAGCGCAGTCATGGAAGGTCAGCGCGCTCGAAGGAGCGTTACGGCAAGGAGGATATCACTGCCGCTGCCGCCAAGCTGGACGTCATTGTCGAATCTCCACCCCTCGTCTGCTACGGAACCCCTGCAAACTCGACAGGCGCTTTATTTTCTGGACGTTTGAGGATCACAGTCTCCGAGCAGGCCAACGCAGTCACCCTGGATAAGTTCGATATGCAACTGCTCACCAAGATTACTACCAAGAAGCCTGTGTCACGGGAATGCCCCAGCTGCGCAGCACGGACGGAGGAATTGACCAACTGGAACTTCCTCACTGAATCGCTCACCCTCAAGCACGGAGAGCATGATTTCCCCTTCAGCTATCTGTTCCCTGGTCACTTGCCTGCGTCCTGCAATGGGTCGCTGGGTCAGGTTGAGTACTACCTTTCTGCGCGCGCTCACGACACCAACGGCGAGGAGTACATCTACAGAATGCCGTTGCACATCAAGCGCGCCATACTCCCGGGCAACGACAAGTCTTCCATCCGCATCTTCCCGCCGACAAACCTCACCGGCCGCATCGTGCTTCCGTCTGTCGTTCATCCCATTGGCACTTTCCCAGTTCAAATGACATTGAGCGGTGTCGTCGATAAGGGCGAAKAGACCCAAACCCGTTGGCGTTTGCGCAAAATGATGTGGCGCATTGAAGAGCACCAGAAGATTGTCTCAGCAGCCTGCCCCAAGCACGCTCACAAGATCGGTGGCGAAGGGAAGGGTGTCCTGCACCAAGAGACTCGCATTATCGGACACAACGAAGAAAAGGACGGTTGGAAGACAGATTTTGACACCGCTGGCGGCGAGATCAACATGGAGTTCGAAGCCAGCATCAACCCTACCTGCAACCCAGTGTGTGACCTGGAGGTTCCCAATGGCCTTGAGGTCAAGCACAACCTGGTGATCGAGTTGATCGTCGCTGAGGAGTTCTGCCCCAACCGCAACACACGCTCGATCACACCTACTGGCGCCGCACGGGTGCTCCGTATGCAGTTCCATTTACACGTCACTGAAAGAAGCGGGCTTGGCATCAGCTGGGATGAAGAAATGCCTCCTGTGTACGAGGACGTGCCAGCAAGCCCTCCTGGTTACACTATGCTCGATGGTAACAGCATCATGGAGGACTATCGTGGATCTCCTCTGTCCCTCCCAGACTATGAAGAGCTGGAACGGATGGAGCCTCTGCATCTGGACAGCGACTCAGCTGGCTCGGTCCGCGGGCGGAGTCGACTTACCACCGACGACCTGACTGCAGAGCCAATGGAATCGGGAAGCCGAAGCCGCGGTCTATCTGCCGATCTCCGCTCATCCGAACATTGAACGTCTCAATCTGATTTGTCGTCCTTGCTATTCTCACGGATTCATTATCGGTCCATTCATCCTCATGACGTTACGAACACTTACGAACGGAATGATTTCTTGATTCCTTCATGAAGGAAAAGAGCAAACCAATACAATACAACGGGGAAAGGAGTTTCGAGCACTGTTTGCATTATGACGCTTTTTCTTTTATCTTAATGGCCCTATGTGGCATGCCTACGGGTGGTGTTGGCAACAAAAAAAGTTTCATCCATGGATTCGCATGATACCCACGTCTGATCTGGCGTTTGCTTTTTTCCGTGTCTTTTTCAAAAATCATGACGACCACGTGCAGATGTACATAATCTAATCTATCTCTAAGCTTTCTTGCTACGTTTCTCTGAGTGCTTATAGGTTGCCGTAAATTCCGTAGAGATGAACAACAGTAGCGTGATATCTGCTGTAGGTGTGGCAGTCCTGCTCCGAGTTCAAATGCTGGACTACAGGTAAACACCAACCAAGATGTAAACGCTCGAATACACCTCCCTTGATCATCGGGGAATTGCAGAGTGGGAGCCCTTACAGCTATCCACGTTTACACTATGTATTGTTAAAGGCACCGCACGTGAAGCTACCAGATGACCCAAGTTTGTTATGTCCAATGTAACCATCAATATTCACAGTCAGGTGAGCTGACTCTAAGCCAAGAACTGTCCGATCTGATATCTGCACTCGCTATAATAGCAGCCAAAGCCTCAGGTTTTCCATACCATCCCAAACTCCGTACGTACGCCTAGGCACCAAACAAACAAACTTCGGTAGATAACAAGCAATTGATACAATCAAGAGGAAAGGTGATTCATTATGAATCGAATATCGGCCCAAAGGCCGGTATCCCCCCGCTCTCCAAGTCGAAGACGACCCTCTTGGTGACGCGGGGGTTGCTGATGACGCAGACGGCCTCGGCTTCGAATTCAGAGTATAACCTCCGGATGATGGGGAGCATATCTACTCTCCCGGATTGATTCGTCTCGATGATCACTGGGTCGGCATCCAGCTTGGTTACGAGGTCGAAGACGTCCCGGCCGTATGTTCTGCGCGGGGAACGGGTTTGCCATACCACCCGGAGAGCGGGACGATTCTCATCGCCGAGGAAGGAGAGGCAGGGACCGATGCCTGAGCCCGTTGTGACGACGATAACGCGCTTGAAGACCCGCATGGCGTACGCGAAGCCGTAGATGAGAACACCGCGTTTCCAGATGTGTTTTGGGGGGCATTTTATGCGGGCGGTAGTCCAGTCGCCTGCTTTTGAGACCAGGCATGAGAAGCTTTGGCCGTCGGGATCAGGGAAGGTGGCAAAGCCGTGCCAGTCTTGCAAGGGGTGTGTGGCTAGCTGGATACCCTTGCCGAAGGTGGTGTTTGTGTGGTTCATGTGCAGCCTGACCGCGTGCGGGGACAGAGTTTCCCCAGAGACGGGAACTTTGCGGAGGAGAAGCCAGGGGTGGATGATAGAGAGGACTGTAACCACGAGAAACCAGAAAGCCGGGAGATGGACAAGGAAGGTGCCCAGCGGTTGGCCGGCGGCACGACTGGCCTCGCCGGAAAAGACGAGCAGGAGGATGACGAAGAGGATCACCACGACCCACGCGGAGAAGCGATGCGTAAGCTCGAAATAGTCGTGCTTCTTCATGCGGAAGGCCGGGTGAGCGACGAGGATGATGGCGAGCAGTAAGGCTAAAATGATGTAGGAGAGGACCACAGGCAGGATTGAGAAGGCGGTTTTGCCCGCTTCCCCGGCTGCAGCCCAGTACTCCTTCGACATCAGGCCAACGAAGCCTGCATACCAGAGGAAGGAAGCGATGCCGCACCCACTGTGGACCCCGCCATAGTGGTACACTTTGGCCGCGATGCGACGCAGCCGCAACGGCGCGGACCGCGGGATCGAGCAGACAATGACAAAAATGGCATTGACCACCAGCGGCTGCCGGGCCAGGCCACAGGCAAGCACGTTGGCTGCCGTGGCGTTCACAAGGGCCAGCAACTTTCGATCTGCGGTCATGACGGCAATGAAGACCGCCAGGTTGGCGAGGAAAACTAGGGAGAAGAGACGCCGGTAAATGTCGAGGGCTGTGTATCGGATGAACGAGATGTAGGCGTGTCTCTTCTTGCGCGCACCGGCCTGCGCTTCGAGGTCAATGTCCTTCGGCGAGCCATTTTTCTCGGCAAGGATTCTGGCGATCTCCTTCTCGACATCCACCAGTGTGACGTTGCTGGGATTTGATGAATGGGAACTGCACTTGGCAGGGGGAGGTATTGAGATTTCACTCTTCTCTGACAACGACATGTTGCTTTTGTGAAATGAAGACATGGATGGAAGGATGCGGAGGATACCAGCACCGGTAGTATAGAGGTATGAACAGTGAAGGTCACACTTGATAGCAACACACTCACGGCGGTATGACGGCACCCTGCGCCTTTTGAGTCTTGACTTGCGATGACATCTCCCCAGATGGGGCTATTGCCCGAACTGTGCGCCTACATTAGACAATCGAATAGTCTCTAGACCATCCGTAAAGTTCGTGACATCCGCTACGGCACTGTGCCGCATGCATGGACCTCGGCAAGCGTCCGGCGAGACACTGAACTTTTTCGCCATCCACCATGTTCTGAGGATGTGATACCACCGTACGGAGCTCCGTTCCGCATCACTAGTCACCTCCAAGGGCTGTACCAATGAGCAGCCGAAGGCAGCATCACGACGCCCTTGCCTCAGCTCCTCATTTCCCAAAATGGGTATATCAGGGAACCAATGACAATGGCACAGAGAGGGGAACCCGACCCATCTGGTGCCGAATTGGGTGAACCGCGGGCTGCATCAGCGCAGCTTAAGAGGAGAGATATCAGACTTGAGTGGCTCATGCAGCCCGGGCAAGGTTGCATGAAGAATCCTGGTCTGAAAACAGGGCGCCAGTAAGGAACGTGAGTATCAGTGGCGTTCGCATGGTCCACCGGTCAAGCCCGTTCTAGGAGCAGAAATTACCAAGATAATGGATTCGAACCGCTCATCGGACAGGCGGAGTTGCCAGGCGATGCAGGATCTTGCAGATCCCTTGACAGGTTCGTCAAATACGCACACTTGCGGAGCTGAGCGCACAGATGCTTGCTCCAAGATCACTGGCAGAAAGACAATGGTGGAATCACTTCATCACATTCTGAATGGGCGGGCGGGCTGGCTGGGTATAGCGGTGGGGTGTAGCCCGTGGGTGGTGGGTGCGGTGATAGTGGCACGAATTTGGAACGAGCCAAAGTCACTTTGATGAGCCGTCTATCCACATTGAGAGTCAATGCGAGCAAATCCTGCACGGATATCCGGGATCTGATCGACCGGGACGTCAGGCTGACATGGATCACGGATCTGAACGAGCATGGCGTGGGAGGGGGTCCTGTGGAATGTAGATCATCCCTTGATGGCCTCTGCAACTAGTTTTCTAAAGGTTCATCGAGAGCGATGGTATGACTGGTAGACACAGCCGAGGCCACTACTAAGAATTCCTGAATGGGGAGGAGAAGAGAGGATAGCGCCGGGGTTCAGCTGGACAATGGAATACTTGGTGGACTAAGGACAGGGAATACAACAAGAAAAAAGTGGATACAAGAGATTGCCAGAGAGCTAAGAAATGACGGTGACGAACCGGCTGAAAGGGTAAATGGAGACCAGTCGGATGAAGTTGAAGTTGCTGGAGTGATGGAGCGATGTGAGATGGGTGTGAGGGAGGCACTCGTGCTCAGAGATTGGCTCGATAAAGTTATGGAGTCACAGGATGATCCCCAGAAGTGCCGCCTGGTCTGAACATGTTCGTCTGAATATCAACACTACTACTACTTCTAGACTACTACCTTACTAGTAACTACCAAGAACAGGGATTAGCCTAGATATTTATTGCATATTTTTTTCTTTTTACTTTTTCTCCTTTGTACTGACCCACCCCGCTGCGATCTGAATGCTGAACAGAGTGTGTTCATTCGCTGCAGCCTCTCCCAAGCGTCGGTCGAGGACGATCAGTGAGGTGCTGATCTGAGAGTCTCGTCCAGGTGATTTGATTATTCTAAGCATAAGCGGTGATTAGCAGTCTAATTTCGATGTTTTAGACTAAGATCGAGGCTGATACAGACGGTGTTTGGGTGTTTGCGCCACGCCTGCTGGCAATTCCAAATCACGGAGATCTCGCATCTAGGAAATTGGAATTATCGCATAGGATCACTTCATTGTGACAACTACCTAAAGATTTGAAATAGAAGATTCAAATGCAAATGGCAAGCTATTTATCACTGCGTCTCCCCATGGAGCAGAAGGGTAGAATTTTTCTTCGCATCTTCATCAGACTTGCTTCGCCGGCTTTACAAGCGAGGACGCCCAGATTCACCACCCATTAGCTCCTATACATTTCTTTCTCCTCTTCCCTTTTGCTTTTCTTGTCTAATACTTGGAGATGGGTCTCTGGGAAAGGTCGTCAGCAATTTCCGGGCCAGGAGCTCGGGGCCCAAGTCCTGAGGCTCACCATGTATACACCGACTTGTTGACCTTTTGCTTCGACGGCCCCAACCAGTATGACCAGCGGCGACCGATCTTCATAGACGCCCAGGACCCCTCGCGTTCACTCAATGCCAGTCAGTTTCGGCTGCTGGTAAGAACACTCATAGCCGGACTCAAGGCTCATCATGTGCAGCGCGGAGACTGCGTATTGGTCCATTTGGGAAATTCTGTACGGCTCCCTGCAATCCACACTGCTCTCACCGAGTTTTACGCCTCCTTCCGGTTTTGTGCAGTTGCTGGAGTTTTAGCTTTGTCGTTCCTACATTCTTTTGCGGCGGACTAATGTACTAATGATTTCTCATGCATGTAGATCATATACCCCGCACTATTTTTCGCTATCATCGGCGCTGGCGGTGTGTTCATGGGCTCCAATTCTCGCAGCCAACCTCAAGAACTCGAGCATATCCTGCAATTGGCAGACCCGAAG